ATTTTTTAAAATAAAAACGAAAACCATTGTGAAAAAAATTTGTTACATTAAAAAAAATTGGGTCAGTCAAAAATTTGTTTTGGTTTTTTAAATAGTAAATATTAGCAAAATGATTTTTGATCAAATTAAAATTTTATAAATAAATCTTACATTTAAGAAAAACTAAAGTCACTATTAATTATATTTTTCAAAAAAAATATTATTTTGTTGCATTTTGACCTTTTCAAATTGGTTTGGAACTAAAAATACAAAAATTGAATGTTAATTGTAAAATTTACTAAAAATCAGATAACTATTTATAGAGAAATATTCAAAACTCTATTAATTCAATAAGAAAATTATCAATGTTAGATAACATAAATTTATCAAGGTTAATCTTAAATATCCATTTAAACCAAATTGAATATTAAAATTCCCCAAAAAAGCTATGTTTTTTCGAAGAGATTGATTATCACTAATGTTTTACAAAGAAAATTGAAAAATAACGAAATATTAAGATTTCAGAAATCATCTAAATTCTTTAAATCCACCTAGACCAAACTTTAATTTAAAATAATTATTAATTTTTGGTCTCCCCAAACAATGAATAACCTGATCTTGAAATCTAATCTTATAAAAAAAAAATTAACATTTTTAGTAATTTTTATAATTAAAATCAAATTTTTGTATTTTTAGCCTTCCACAGTAAATCTAAAAGGTCAAAATGCAACCAAATAATATTTTTTTTGAAAATTATTATTGATAAGTGACTTTCGTTTTTCTTAAATATTAGATTTGTTCTTAAGGAAGTAAGTACATTTTACCACTTTGAAAAATGTAAATTGTGTTAACATTACTGAAAAATATTTTTTGAGTGCCACCAGATATTGAAACTTTGGAACCAAAACACCATCCTTCGCTAGTCTATTCGGAATGAAAAGAATCAAAGTAATTTAGATTTGAATCTTTTCATTTTCAATTTTTTGAACTTTTTTTTTTGATTCAATTGTTGTTTTTATTAAACTAGCTCTTGTATCTAGAAAATTGTGTACACAAATGAATTTGAAATTAATCAAACAGTAAACGAAAAAAAAAAATAAACCCAAAAAGGTGTCTATTTGAAACAAATATTTTCTTTTAGAAGACCAAACACGAAATATCACCATTCCAAATAAATTTGTTGAAATCAAGAATAATAAAAAAAAACTATCTATAAAAGCCTATTTTCGAAGATTAATTTTCTTTATATTCTTAGTTTGTCTGAATACAAACTATTTTTTTCCTAGTATTTCTCGCCCCATTACCATTTATTATTATTTTAAAAAACCGTTTCTGACAGATTTGCTTTCAAAATTCTCTTTTCAAATTCTTTTTATCAAATAAAACCAAAACAAAGAATACTATTTCAAAAATTATAAAAGGGGTTGAATTCTTGGAATCAAAAAACAGTCACAAATGATTCAAATCAAAATAATTGAAAAATTCAATAACAAATTTCAATCAGATTCAGAATTATTTTGAGTTCTCATTTTAATGGAAAATAAATAATTATAAAATCAAACGAATTTGTGAAATAAACCCTTATTTCTCAAGAAGAATTAAAAAAATCTCTGATTTTCTTAACTAAAACTAGAATTAGATGAAATAAATCAAAATAGGATTTTTAAATTCATTTTGTAAATTCTTTAGAAATAAACAGTAATTTGTTTATCAAAAATTTTCCAAACAAATTTTTTTTCATAAAAAATTAAAAATAAAACCAAATAAAGAATTAGTAATTGTGTAAAATGTTATAGATAAGATCAAGTAATAAATGATTTTTATTTTTTTTTGATCAATTTTTTTATTTTTTTGGATTTCAGTTTTTTTAAAGGTATGAAAATATCTTCTACTAGGATATATTCCACTCTACTATTTATGAAAATATCAATTTGTTTGGTTAAAGAAATGATTTGAAGAATGCAGTTTCACATAAATGGAGGTACTCAAAAAATGAAAAATGTACTTACCCCCTTAAAATTTTAATTTGAAAAAAAATCATTTTTCTAATATTTACTCTTTAAAAAACGAAAACATATTTTTGACTGACCCAATTTTTTTTTAATGAACCAAATTTTTTTCACAATGAAAAGAAGAAAAAAAAAAAGCAAAAATGGGAAAAATATTATTATTCAAATTTCGTGAAATTTCAAAATTGGGTAAATTCTCAATTTTTTGAAAATAGTCAATTCAATTGAGTTATATTGGCCGTGGATATTCTAAAAAACCCCTTTTAAGGAAGTTTAAGGTATGTTAGAGTATTTTAGAGTATGTTAGAGGCAGGTTTGAGTCGTATGTTAGAGAATTTTCGTAAGAATTTTCAAAAAAAAATAATTAAGAGTGGAATTCGACTTTTGTAACTTGTTTTAAGTGGTAAAAAATTTCAACTTAACTTTGGGTGCCAAAATTAGGTTTTGAACAAATTATTAATATTTATTATTGATAATTTTTACATTTTGGATTTTCAACAATCTAAGTAATAAATTACTATTAGTCACAAAATAATCTTTTTGGTTTTTCTTCTCAAAATCATTAAAAACCAAAAAAAAATTCATACTGTTGAAAATAATCAAGAAAATATTCAACAATATGAAAAAAAACAATTTGAAGAATTTTGAAATTTGACAAAATTTACAATTTAATAATATACTCTAGAAAATCACAAAAAAAAATAAAAAAAAATTATCAAATTGAGAAAAAATGATTTTGATCTAACAATTGAAATTTTAGTTTGAGAAGATAATAAATTAAACTCATAGAATATGTTCGATTTCTTCTATAAAACTACCCCCCTTTTACTGAATAAGAGTTTATTATACCAATCTTTCTGTCTTTTTATATCAATCGAACCTTAAAATTATCTACATATCTTTAAAAGAAAAATTTTAAATTTGAATTGCAATGAAAGGAATCTATGAGATAGAATGTATAAAAAATTATCTTTGAAAGAAAATATTATAGAAAAATAATTGTTTGGTGCTTAGATAAAAAAATAATTTCTTGAAATTTTTTTTTCATCATTTTAAAATTTTTCTTCAGTTCTTGTCCTTTTATTTATTTTTCATGTAAGAAAATTTTTGTCAAATAAATTAAAATAATATTTTATATTTAATTTTTTTAAAAGTTTGTTAAAGGAAATAAGTACATTTTACCATTTTGAAAATTTTTAATTGTGTGAACATTACTAAAAAATATTTTTTGTGACACACCAGATATTTAAACTTTGAAACCAAAACATCAATCACTGCACCATTTGTGAAAAGAAAACGAACCCGAAGTAATTCATAGTTGAGTCTTTCATTTTTTGATTTTTTGAACAACATTTTTTTATTTAAATTTTTGGTTTTATTAAGGTTTACAACCCCTGAAATCTGAAAAAAGATTATTTTGTGTTGTTTGAGACCACTTGTTAATAGGTTCTTAGGTGTTCGATCTTGTTCTTAATATAGGTTTTAATAGTGGTTCAAAATGGTAATTTTTGACAATTTATTTTTTTTTTTTTCCGAAATCCGAATTGAAGAGTGTAAGAGAAATATATTGGAACTTAAGTCATAAAAAAATGTTGGTTATGGGTTGACGATTGAAATTTTTAATTGGGTTTGGTGTTATTGAGAGTTTTTAAAAACAATTATTTTTTTCATTTAGTTAATTGACAAAAAATTAAATGAAGATTTTATTCTACAACCCAAAAATCAAAATTTATTCTTCAAAACCTATCAATCTATTAATCTTACACCCTTCAATTAGAATTTCGGAAAAATTAAAAATAAAATTGTCAAAAATTGCCATATTGAACCACTATTAAAAACCATACCATGTACAAGATCGAACACCTATGAACCTAATTAAAATGTTGCAATATCTGATACAAAATAATCTTTTTTCAGATTTCATGGATCATAAACCTTAAATTCGGTTTTGAAGAGAGAAATATGTTTATAAGAATGAGTGTAATAAATCAAACAGTAACCCATAAAAAAAATTGACCTGAAAGGGTGTTTATTTTTAAATAAATATTTGCTTTTAGAAGACCAAACCCAAAAGATCACCATTCCAAATAAATTTGTTGAAATCAGGAATTTAAAAAAAAATATCGATAAAAGTCTATTTTTGAAGATTTAATATCTTTATCTTCTTAATTGGAGGAATATAAATCAATTTATAACTTTGAATTTCTCGGCCAAATTACTATTTAATATTATTTATAAAAAAGATTTTTTCAAAAACTTTTTTCAAGTTTCTTTTCTTTCAATGAATCGATCATACAAAACCAAAATAAAAATTAACATTTCAAAAATTAAAATGAAAGATTAGAATTCTAAAAATCAAAAAAAAACTTTAACAGATTCTAACCCAAAATAAAAGAAAAATTTAGAGAAAATTTTAATTAAATTCAGAATTATTTTCTTATATTAATGGAAAATAAATAATTATAAAATTAAAAGGATATGTCAGATAAATCTATCTTTATGAAGATAAATTTCAATAAGTAACCTATTTTCTGAATCCATTCAAGAATTAGATAAATTAAAAGAATATTAGATTTTAATAATCATTTTAGTAATTCTTTGATAAATAAAAAGTAATTTCTTTCTCAACAATATTACAAACTAAAGTATTTCTCATGAAGAATTAAAAATAAACACAAATTAAGAATAAGAAATTGCTTCAGAAGTTGAAGAGTAGATCATAATGAATGATTTATTTTTTATTTTATTTTTGATAATCTCATATTTTTTGTATTTTTTTGAGTTTAAATAAATTATTTTATACTAATGTATTAACCCACTCTTACATAAATTATATTATAAAGGTTAATTATTATGGTAATAATTTATATAGTTGATTTTCACATAGATGGTGGCACTCGAAATTTTAAAAAACGACTTATTCCCTTAATGGAAAAGAAAGATCATTTTTCTAAATTTCGAATATTAAGTTGGTATCTTTAAATAGTTTATAAAAACCGTAATTTCATAAGTGCATAGTTGGCCGAGTGGTTAAGGCGTTGGATTCAAGTCCCAATGGAGTAATCCGCACAGGTTCGAGTCCTGTACTATGCAATTATTCATTTTTTTTTTCTTTATTTTCTTTTTTTTTTTATAATTTGACTTTGCTCGAATATTTTTTTTATTTTTTTTATTTTCGATTTTTTTTTTTTTTCTTCTTTTTTTGATTTTATCTTAGTTCAAATTTCTAATAATAAAGAAAATCAGAAAATTTCATAAGTGCATAGTTGGCCGAGTGGTTAAGGCGTTGGATTCAAGTCCCAATGGAGTAATCCGCACAGGTTCGAGTCCTGTACTATGCAATTATTCATTTTTTTTTTCTTTATTTTCTTTTTTTTTTTATAATTTCACTTTTCTAGAATATTTTTTTTATTTTTTTTGCTTTCGATTTTTTTTTTATTTCTATTAGTTATTGATTTCTTACAATTTTTTTCTTTATTATTTGATCATAAAATATTATTCTTAAATCTGATTTTTAATTGACAAAAATCCATTACTTTCAAACAATACCTCCTTCTGATTCTATCTCAGAGACCAAAAATTGTTGTTAGTTATTATTATTTTTTCCATAATTCCAATCTGAAGATTTATTAATTGATGAATAAAATCAAACAAGATCTGAGTTTTAGATCAACAAAAAATCATGTAAAGAAGAAGTGTGGTTGGAAGTTAAAACAGCACCAAAGTTGTATAAGAGTATCAAAAGTCCATCTGTAAAAGGAATAACATTGGATGATATTGGTGCTTCATTTATAATTAGGTCTTTTACTTTAAAAAAGCAAACTCGATTGAGTAATGAAAGGAAGCTGAGTATTTGAAAACTCAGGGACTACAGCAGTCAGTAGAAGTACATGCTTAGATCAAAATCTATTTGTTATTTCAACGATGAAGAAAAGGTGTACAAAAGAAACGCCAAGGGGCTATTAGTTTTAGAATCTGCAACAGCTCTGAAAGAAGAATCCAAAATGTGTGCCACATTAATTGGGAATGGTGACAACACCCTTGTTTACAGTTACACACAAATTATCTTTCTTTATTTAAATTCTCTTCAATATCGTCAAGATCTTGGCTTTTTTTCAAATTATTTTCCATGATTGCAGTATTTTTGCAACACTTGAAAACGAACTTGGCTTGTATTTGTTTTCTTGGAACAACCAAGTCGATCTCAAATCAAAACAACTGACATTTCTTGTTTTTTTTCTCCCATTTTTCTTGTTTTGAACGATTTCAACAACACAAGAAAGTAAAACTTGTATCTAATCTCTTAGTACAGAGGGAAGTTTCTCTAATCAGCAATTGGCATTTTTGATTTTTGACTCTATGAATAATTATTGATTTGTTTCTCCACAATCACAAAAGCAGATTCGTTGCTACACGAAGAATAGTTTCTGCGTTTGTGGTGATCTCCAAAGCATTTCAGTCAGCGAAGAAAAGCCATATTTATGTATGTGTAACCAATCACTTATTGCAAGGAGGGTGCTTGATGGTATGGTAGCTCTCAAAAAACAACATCCCATTTACCCCTAATTTGGATCAACACTTTTGTGTCTTTAATATGCAAAAGGCAAAATCAATAAGGCATTTTTGTGTGTAGATCAAATTTCAACAAATGATAACTTTGTAAACAAAACCGGGGCGTTCTCTGTTGAAACTAATACCCAATTACATAATGTGCCAAGGTCTTTTGTTGCTCTCATTTCAAAAATTGATTTTTGATGGCTATCTAGTTTTCAGATCCGATCCATCAAAGAGGGACAATGGAAGTTGTTGGTGTAAGAGATGATATTTGGGCTCCAGTTGTAATTGTTATAACCTTGCTTTTGTATATACAAAATAAAACCATTTCTGGAATTGTAATTGATATTAGTGTTTTTGCACAAAAAGAAATTCAATTGGTGATCTTAAGGGAGTAGCTACACCATAAGAAATGATAAAAATTTGAGAGAGATGAGATAAGAACATTTTATTTTAGTGGCGTATGATCGTAGATTCTCTAAAAATTTTTTTAAAAAAATTATTTGATATTTTTTTTTTTAGTAATGTTCAACAATAAAAAAAAAGAGATTATATTGATAGAATAGTTTTATTATTATTATTATTTTATTATTAAAATAAACTTAATTCGATTAATTTGGACACATTTTAAACAGTTAGAAGAATAACAATAACATGATTTACATCAATTAGGAAATTAATTTTAATTCAACAAACTATATCATTTTTTGTGTTTTTTGTTTTTGTTTTCATTTTCTTTTTTTCAGGTACTTAATCGGTTTAGTTAGATCTGAAAATTTTTTATAGATGGTTACTAGATGGTTACAGTTGAGTTTCTTCAAGTGATAAATCCACATACAACCGGTACATGGTATCTTATCATTTGATCGATCAACCATTGTTGGTGTAATTTTAACAAATCTACCAATATATTTTTTGTTCAAACTCTTTCATTTCAGCTCGTTTCATTTTTTTTTGGACACACTGGTTTTGATTTTTTGTTTTATATTGTTTTCTTATATTTGGATAAAAATGATTACTTAAAAAACCATTAATACTATGTTACTTAAATCTGGTTTTATATTAGGTTTGGGAGAATATAGTAAATTGAGTTTTTTGTTTCACTATTTTTGATTTTAGATGTGTCCAAATTTTTGGAATGGGGTTTAGTTTTTCTTTCTGGGAGAAGATAATTTCAGATTCTTAGAATAAAAAGTGTATCTATTTTGTGGTTTAAACTTTGATAACATATAATCATATTCACTTCTCATATTCCACTAAACCCAACGATTTAAAATCCTAACAAGTAATAATTCTACTTAATTATTCTAATTTTGGAATTCTTCTAGCTATTTAAGTCCCATTTATGTTTCCTTTTATATTCTCTCAATTGTAATATTGTTGTTCTTTTTAAACAAAATCCATTAATCCTAAATGCCACTAATAAAAAAATATTTCTAATTGCTTTATCTTGTCAGGATTAAAAAAATCTCAAAAATGATGAAAAAATGAAAAAATAAAAAATGAAAAAATTAAATGCCACAATAGAATGTTGAGAGAAGAATAAAAGATAAGTCATTCAACATTCAAAACACTATTTTAAGTAATTCAACTCAACATTCTATTGTGGCAATTTCTTTGAGACTTTGAAAAAAAAATTTCAAAAATCTAATGAATGAAGTACTTTAAATAATAAAAACCAATGAGGTACAACCAGAGTAAAAAATGTTATTTTCTGATGCTCTTCAAAATTGCAAAAAAGTGAAAAATTTTTCTTTACCGTGGCTACTCCCTTAAAAAACTAAGATTTTTGGTTTGAGTCCAAGAAATACAGGTTAAGATTCAAAACTTTCTGGCACCATTCAAGTTTATTTAAAAAAATTTTCGGTAAGGTGCAAGAATTTTTTTTTGAGAAATGAAAAAATAATAAATATTTTATAATCACCACTACAAAAAATCTGTTAACTTTTATCAATCTTTCAATCACTTTTAGACAATTTACAAACCTTTCAAATACTTTTCAACACTTTTAAAGAGGAAATATGTTGCAAAAGTGATAAGCTTTTAAAAAGTCACGAGATTTTTTGTTGTGACACATTACGAAAAATCTCATGATTTTTACCAAGATTTTCCTTTTTACCAAGCTTTTACCCATTAAAGTGTTTTGAAAGAACAAAGTTTAGTAAAATCCATGGGATTTTTTGGAGTTCTGTAACAAAATCTGTCCAAAGAAGAAAGTTTTTTAATTAATAAATTACAATTAAAACCAGTATTTATCATCAATTTTATCAAATAATTGAAACTAAACCACATCCACAAAATGTGATATCTTAATATTTTAAGTGTTTTTACTAAATTTGCCATTTTTCCAAAAACTATAAAACTTTTCCGGTGCGTACCGACGAGGAAAGTTTATTGTTAACGAATATGGGGGTTCTAATAGCAAAACATTTCAATTTAATAAAACAACAAAAATGTTTTGGGTTAGAATCAAAAATTTAAAAAAAAAAATTAATTTCAAGAAATCAAAAAACAAAAACAACACCAAACCTTTTTTATTCGATCATTACGTTGTTTTTTTTTTTTGCGATTATAAATCCCAAGTTTGTTATCACGAAAAACCTCTCCCATTTTGGGTACACATGAAAAGTTTTATAGTTTTTGGAAAAATGGCAAATTTAGTAAAAACACTTGAAAATATATATATTTTTTTTATTAATGAGCAAGTATAAATTACACTCTAAGTTCCCTTTCAGAAATTTAAGATAAAATCATCGATTTCACGATTATTAATCAATGAAAATAATTTTTAGCTATCACAGCTTAAAATTTTATCATTAAAAATTTAATTCTTATAATTTATTTAAAAATATCAATATATTTTTTTCATAAGAAAGACATACCCATAAAAAATGATCAATATTTTCTATTATTTCTTTATGTTGAGATTTTAAACAGAAAGGACGCAATTTATTTGAGTTTTTATTTATTGTATAGTTATATCTATTTAAACAGTTGGCAAATGTTCAGAATTTTAGTAGGTTCAACTTGATGGATAACTTAAATATTTTAGCATAATAAATATTGTTTTTTGATTTTTAATTATTTTAAATATTCTTGTAGAGTTTCATAAGATACCGTAGTGTTCCAGGGTTTCTTGAATTTTTTTGTTTTATTTGTGAAGTGTTCTAGATTTTTTTGAAGTTTTCTATTTTATTTGTAAAATCTATTGATTTTCGTTAGGGTTTTTGTTACTTTTTGAAATAAACCGAAAATTTATTAAAATTTTCTCTTTATTTATAAAAATAAAAAAAACCTAGAACACTTCACAAATAAAAAGAAAACTCAAAAAAACTTAACGAAAATCTATTGATTTTCCAAATAAACCTAAAACCTAATGGCGCTTTTCCAGAATTCAAAAGAATCTACAAGAAAAAAACAAAGCTTTTAGTCAATTCTTTGAAATTCTGGAAAACCTAACTGCCTAGTTTTTTTTTTTTTAGAAATAAAAAGAATTTTTTTGAAATTTTCTCTCAATTACTAAAATTATAAAAAAAGAT